TACAGTACCCATCTGTGATCTAAACTAAACTGTAGAAGCTTCTATAATCTATCCTCTTTCTGATCTCATCAGTTTGGCATCATTGCCCTAGAAGAGATTAGAAACTTTGATTTTTTTTTTTTTAAAGAATCCTTTACATCTTTCAGTTTCAGGTGTCCACTGTGAATTCTGATTTAGGGATCATCCTCCATGCAGGTTAAATTAATTAAGTCTGCCCTCAAAGAAGTATCTGGGGAATCAGGACATGCTGAAAAGGATTTTGATTACAGTTGCAGCCATACCCTATTGGATATTTATCCTACACAGGTGAAATCCTTTAAGAGACTCTTACCTTCTAGCTACCTTTCTTAACACCAAGCAGTTTTCCCAGGTACTAATACGTAATCCCTTTTCAGCCCCTTCTTCAGTCCTCTGTCTCTGCTCTTTCTGCAATAGCTCTTTATTTAATAGTTTCAGATTGTCACCACAGCTGATGCCCAAGGAATTTGCCACTAGAAATAGGAGGGCCATGTCTGTGCTACACAGTAAAGCTTAGGGCAGAGGTGTCAGAGCCAGAAGAAGTGTAAGCATATCAGTGTGGTACTGGGATCAACCAGGTGATCCCTGCTGAAAGGCAGAGCTCATTCTCTTGGGCACATCCTATGCATGTGACTATCATCCTGTAGGGACACCAGCTGGAGTCCTTACACTGTCCTGTGAAGCGCAAGACAGGCAGCTTTTCTTGGCCCTGTGTCTATGGTCATTACTCCACACGTCATTGTGCTACGCAGATATCCTTGTTACATCCTTAGTTCATTAATTCTCACATACTTTCCAGATCTGCTTGAAAATGTAGTTTTGTCCTTGCTTTCTTCTGGTTGCTTAAAGGGCAGAAAATATTCTTCTAATGCCTCCTTCCTATGACTTACAGTGTAGGACAAATTGTTTTTTAACAAGACCACAACCTGGTATACTCGAGGCCCTCTGGACATACGTGTATATATGTGTTTGACCATTTGTGTTGTAATTACATGCTGTGTTCAGGTCATATTCCTTCTGCTTGTCTGTCCAAGCCAAAAATGCCAAACCAAGTGCTATTGTCAGCAGTGTGATCCCACAAGTTGCTCAATAAGGGAGTGCCTAGCTGTAAGGATGCAATGTGAAATGAGGGAAGAAGAGAGGCAAATAAGGTCACAAGGTGTGGGGGTGCACCACATGCCCTAGTCTCCAAGGCATTCATCCTTTGCCCACACAGCAAGATCACCAGCAACCTGCTATATAGCAAATGATTACAGAATATAGAATAGGTTAAATACAGCTTCCTTATAAAAAGACTGTCTGGTTTTCTAGCAACAGCCTAACTCTCATTTCTACATAGTCCTCCCTCTCCTGGCACCAGAGACCTGCCAGCCTGCTGTAGCTAAGCCCACGAGCAGAAGCACCCTGAAAAAGTTGCTCATGTAGCAGCTGCTCCATCAGACTCACAAACTCAGTTGCCACAACACTAGAGCAAATACTAGAAGTTTGCACTGCTGTGGGGAAATTATGAGGATGGGCCTTCTGTTCTTTCAAGTAATTCCTTCTGCAGAACGCCTCTAAGGAGAGCAAACTGTTCCTCTGATGTTTTAGAACAACCATTTGACTTTGACAGAGCTCTAGAGACAAAATAATGCACTTGGACCAGATAGGGCTGGATGCAACCGTAGTAACTGGTTTTGAGGTTTCAAAGGCACAGTACAACCATTCCCCAAAAGCATGAAACCTCAGTGAGCTAATATAGCTATTACATCATTTTCTCACTCGAGGGTGAAAATTTTTACTTTCTTATTTCGTGTCTTCAACGCAGAAAATCAAAATGCATATTCGCTCCCTGAGCAAACATGTTAAGCATGGTACTTACTGTTTGTGTGCCATTTATTTGGATCAGGAAGCCCTTACAGCAAATAAATTACAGCTAGCTAAGGTGAAACATGTTAATAAGGATTGCCTTAGAGGTTTCTCCTGCAGAAGCAGGCAATTCTTACATTGCCGATCTGAAGCTGACTTCTGCTTTCCAATGCACTGGTGCTCATCAGACTAGTTTGATGAATGCAACTGAGTGGCAAGCAGTGACACTTTGTGTAGTTACCACAGCTGCATGAGAGATTTTTGTTTATTTTTGTTGACAAAGAGCAGGATTTGTTCCTTGGTTTCTGCAGCAAAAACATCTCTTAAGATCTGGGATTCTTATTTGTGACCTTCAGAAATTAATCTGTCCTCACCCTTACCATCACATAGGGAATATCACTCATTAGAGACCTAACATTTCTCCCTAAAGAGGTGCTTCACAAAATCTGAGAGTGTAATGCCACACAGCTAATCCTACAACAGTATCAAGGAAACCTGAGATGGTGACAAGCAAATTATTTCATCACCATTCAGGATCTTTTCCTTATTACTCTGAACACGTCCATCCTAGAGACCAAGCTTTGCATATGACTTCTGAGCCAATGTCCACAGCTGGATTTAGGCAGGTTGAAGTGTGTGACATTTATAACACAAATGGATGGGTGGGTGAGGAAAAAGAAAAAAAAAATAAAATCAAAAAACCAAAAAGGAAAACAAAACCACTCAATTTTCCTGCCAGAAATGCTTTTATACATATATATATATATATATATTTCCATTCATTGACATTTGTAAAAGCAAAGTGAAAAAGGAGGTGGCAGCCTGGAGTTCCCACTCACCAATCAGCACAAGTATGTTCATCTTTCCTGAGGTCTGACTTTTTTCTTGAGCCGAAGCTTCAATACTTAGCTACAAGGGCTGGGCATCCAAGGCTGCCCCAGTGCCCCCTAGTGAAAAAACAATGAAAAATGGACCATATTTTATGCGGTATTGACTGTTTATTTCTGCTGCAAACAACCACTGTTGATAATTAAAGCAGGATCCTTTGTCGTACTGGTTTGTAAACAATCTGGACTGCTAGTAAAAATGGAGATCATATGCAGATCTGTCTTTCATTTCCATTAGACCAGGTGCTGATCTGTCTTTCCTTTTCTATTGCAAAACTTAGATCAGGAATAGGATAAGACCTAAATGACTGAGGTTTAACCCAGTCAGTTGTCATTTGTGGAGGGGAGGAAGAGCTCTGAGTGTGCAGAAGGGTGTGTCGTGCCTCAGTACTCAAATTTCCCCTGAAGTTTCTAAGCAAATCAAAAATTAGGACAGCGCTCTGGCCCTCTAAATACTGCAAATGAGGATGGCATTGGTTGGGCTGACAGATAGTTTAGGGGAGTGAAGGTTCTCTGAAGTAGCTATTATTGAAGGAGTCATGCCTCTAAAACATATTTGGAGCTGAATAGTCCCAACAGCTGTGGAGAAAAAATGTGGTTTCCTCCTCAGCAAATGTCTGTATACAGTATTTGTGAGAACTGAATTCCTTATCACAAAGGGGAATGAATCTTCTCTTTCCACTGAAGTCTCAAATCCCAAACTCTAGAGCTTCCAAATTGAAAACAATCTGCTTTCCCAAAAGGCATAGTAGAATTCTGATGTTTTTCTTTAAATATTCATGGCAGTTAAATTGGCCTTTAATAGTTGCATGGATTCATTTGAGGGTTGTGTTGTTAATGAAAAATAAGTGTGTTAGCAAAACTGAAGAACATCCTTAAATTTCATAGAGATTATTCCATGGAAATGAACCTTTTTCTTTTTCTTTTTTTTTTCCATTTCAGAGGTTAGGTAACCTCATTCTTCCAAAAGGTAGGGTTTTTTTTTTAATATATACAGATTTAGTTCTGATTTTATCACCCTTTTATGTGTCACCTCTGAAAATATGAGCACTTATGTGCAGAATTAAGAGATTTTATTATGACAATGGGTGTCATTATCATCTATTATACAGTAAGAGAAAAGTAAGATATATGCAGGTATAATGACTCATCCAGTATCATCCAAGAGGCTGATGAATACACTGGGGAAAGAATCTGCCATTCTGAGTCCCAGGCCATTGCCCTGACAGTGAGCCCCACTAACTGCAAGGAACAACTAAGCATTCATACAGCCCTAGCAGAATTGCATACCTCTTCATTGATTCATTCAGCCATCGCCTCCCCTGTAAAATCAAAACCAAACCCAAACTGTAGACTAGAAAGAAATCAGCTATACAGTTATAATGAGGAAGACATGGGCAATTGGGGTGGGGACAGGGGCACCTGAATGCTTGAGGTCTTAACAGACCTCAGTGAATTTCAGTGAATTTCAATATCAGAACCAAAGAAATCTTTGGGGAGGTGTTTCCTTTTTCCACTTCAAGCAGCTACTGAACCCATGCCAAATACCGAGGAAAGAATAAAACAAAAAAGGGAAAGGACATCATCCCTATCTTTTAAGCAAGCATCTCCCATACAATCCAACAGTCCCAAGACGTTTCATATGTTACTGCCACACACTTGAATACAAATATGTCACAACTACATATTGTCATGTTGGCAGCTGAAGCCTAATAACTTCCTTATGTTCTATGTGCTAGTCTGTCAGGGTAACATCGTAGGCATTCCTAAGCACCTTTCAAAATCCAGGCATTGTTGTGTTTACTATTACGAGGTATCTGCCTGGTGGAACGGAAGGTTATGCCACCTGTGACTGCAAAGGCTTTTGCTTTAAGCTTTCATCATCTATGATTTTTATTAATGCAGGAGAAAAGGGAGAAAGAATGAGAAAGAAAAAATTGAGAAAATAATGTTGGCTTGGTTCTTGGGATATTTTATATATATTATTTATATTATAATACAATACATATAGCATTTTACCTTTATGCACTTATGCATGTGTATTTTTCTATTTGTCTATATAATTACTTAGCTGACCTGTTTAAAGGAGAAAAAGAATTCGAGAGTTGGAAGGGACAAATTATATATATATTTATATATGTACTATATATAAATATATGTATGTATATGTAGAATGTAACATAATTTCAGACCAAATCTAAAAACTCAAAGTTTTCTACTAAACAGTTTTTCATATTTAAATCTTACCTCTGTTCCATTTGTGGGTCACAGTGGCATGAGCACTGTAATAGAACAACAGCAGCAGTAAAGTCTTCCAAAGCATCCTTCTCTTTAAAATACACATGTCTAGCTGTATAGTAGCTTTTTCAATTTCCTAGTTCCTTTCTTTTCAGGAATAAATAAATGGCTTTTCCTCTCCCCCTCCCCCTTTGAAGGAGAACCTGTCTGTTCTGAGTACAGCTGAAGTCAGTGTGCAGCTCCACTCCCAAACGAAGTCTCCTCGGGATCAGGAAACTTACTTTCACAGACAGACTTTGTTTTTATCCACATCTGGAATGACTCATAGTGCATGTGAGTTTGCTGGCAGCTGTGTGAATAAATATCATTACATTTTTGTACTTGAGTTTCATTTGTTATATGGCCCAGTTGGAATTTATTTTTGTCCAATAAAGAGCCACAAGTAACTTCATTTAAGGACACTTTTGGATCCTAGCTCAGTAGCTACTGCTCTGTAATGCAGGGGGCTATGTGCTAACCCATGTCTAAAGTAAAACCCTCGTCTGGAACGGTATACAGCTTCCCTTGGACGCTAAAGTCAGGGAGCGGGGTATGTGCTCTGCAAGAACATTTTGCTACTGTGATTCATATAATCAGTCCTTTACTAAGAACATAAAATGCCACACTTAGACCAGTTGGTCTTTTCGATCATTTGGCCAGTGAAGAGAACAGGAAGGTCTAAATCCTTAACTGGCTCTTCAATGATACTAAATGGAATATTAAGCAATCCTAAAGACAATCTACAGTAGCCAGTCTGAGTGTGGAGAGGTGGTGCTGACAAGGCTACTGATAGAGGTCTCCTTGACCTTGGCCCCAGGGAAGATAACGCTGAAGTGTTTACCCCAGAGCAGCCCAGCATGTAGGAAACTGCAGGTACCTACTGCCCCTAGCACAGCGGTAGCAGCAGCATTGAGGGGTGCTTTGTGGGAATACAGCACTGGAATACATAACAGCAGGTTACTGTGTGTTGAACAGAATGACAAAAAATAAGGAGTATTTAGCAGAATCAAGGGATAGGGGATACTCCATGTGGTGCCTAGAAGTGATGAGTCTAATTCTCTTCTTTTATAGGTGAGTGTAAGCCAGGAGCAAATCCACAAACATGAATTTACACTGGTGTAAAAATGGCACATAAGAAAGAAGACTCCAGCTCAGAAGGTATGAATAGAAGAATTAAGGGAGAGGATCAAGAGCTGGAATGGCAGAGGGCACTGTGGCTCACAATTAATGGGCACTAGCAGGAAGGCATGGAGAAAACCTGTTCAGCTCCTATATGCCTCATGCCAACATCTGGCCTTAGCCTGAGTCCCCTCATTCTTCTCTGTCCCAGCTTCAAGTAACACCAGCTGTAAAGGAAGGAGGAGGGTCAAATAAGGTTGTCCTGCTTAAGGCAACTCCCTTTCTTTTCCTACATATACAGATTTTCCTGTGCCCAGGCTGCCTCAGGTTACTCCCACATTACAGCGTATGAATGTAAGACAGTATTTTATATGCCAAGGAGACGACAAAAGGCGTAATTCAAGCAGAAGGTGGCTAACTAACTCTTTTGCTATGTACTCTTTTTACTGTAACATATTTAGGATGGGTCTGAATGAAAGTTAAAGCTAAGAGTAGGCTCACTCATACTGTCCAGAAATTATGGAACTGGAGTAAACTAGCTTAACATTCCCTAGAGAGAGGGAGAAAGAAAAGCAGATGACACAAGAAGATGATTATTCCTACTTAGCTCACATAAGACACTTGGAACAGGATGAGTTGCTGTCTGGAGGAGGTGGATCCACTCATTAGAATGGCAATACTGAGGTGATGTACATCAAGACAATTTTCATCAAGAAGGTGCAACTTACTTACACCATGATAAGGGGATAATGATCTGTCAACCACTGAAGACAAAACATTGTGGTGAAACTCCTACTGGAAAGACTTCAACCAGCAGGGAGGGCTTGAGGAAGTAGCCCTTAATTTTAGTAAACCACCTTAATAAACGTTCTCTAGCAAGCAAACACAGTGGATATAAATGGCTTCCTTAATGTAGAATCATAGAATAGAATCATAGAATAGTTAGGGTTGGAAAGGACCTTAAGATCATCTAGTTCCAACCCCCCCTGCCATGGGCAGGGACACCTCACGCTAAATCATATCACCCAAGGCTTCGTCCAACCTGGCCTTGAACACTGCCAGGGATGGAGCATTCACAACCTCCCTGGGCAACTCATTCCAGTGCCTCACCACCCTAACAGGAAAGAATTTCCTCCTTATATCCAATCTAAACTTCCCCTGTTGAAGTTTTAACCCATTACCCCTTGTCCTATCACTACAGTCCCTAATGAAGAGTCCCTCCCCAGCATCCCTATAAGCTCCCTTCAGATACTGGAAGGCTGCTATGAGGTCTCCACACAGCCTTCTCTTCTCCAGGCTGAACAGCCCCAACTTCCTCAGCCTGTCTTCATACAGGAGGTGCTCCAGTCCCCTGATCATCCTCGTGGCCCTTCTCTGGACTTGTTCCAACAGTTCTATGTCCTTTTTATGTTGAGGACACAAGAACTGCACCTACCAGAACTGCATGTGACTACATCAGCCTAACTAACTACGCTGGTATAACAAGTAATGTCAGCAGGGTCTGTGAACAATATGTTTCAGAGTGAGACAAGGGAGAAGCAGCATTTGGGATGTGCATTGCAGGCTTGAGAAATGAAAGAAAATTATGAGAAAACTTAAAATCCTGTGAAGTAACAAAGGAACGCATTTTCAGTGGGTTTCAGGGATGAAGAGATGGAAACTCTTCTGAAATTCTATATAATTTCTAAGAAAACAGCAGCTGATAGAAGAAAATGAAGGAGCATAGACAGGCGCCATCACCCTCTAAACCAGAATCAGAACTATTTTTCAGAAAGAGCTCTGCAGAACGGCTCTACCTCCTGGCTGTCAGCAACAGGACACTTCCTCTGCTTGTTCGTTGTCACTTCTGGCTAGAAATGAAGAGGAGAAAAATCCCAGGTATTTCCTTCCGTAATCTTCCCTTCCATGTCCAGCCTCTGGAGCAAGCACCCTTGGAGCAACAGAGGAACAGCAACTGAGAAAGACAGAAGAGATGTGTGAGAATACTGGCATACAGCTCAAAGAGATATGAGAGTATAAAATTACTACTGCTCTCTCCTTTTTGAGACCCTAGAAATATTGCTCGGAAGCTACATTATATGTGATTTTTTAATTATTATTATGTATTTCTCCTTTATCTGAGTCTGGCTACAGAATCCTCTCTAGCAACCTTTTCCTTATCTGAGCTCAAATACGAACTCTCCCAGTCTGTGGTTCAAGGCCACACTCCTCAGCGCAGTCTTCAGGAATTCTGGCTTTGCCTCTCTTCATGTATCACAACTGAAGGGCAAATTTTACTTTAGGACTGTGAATCATGCACTCACATCTTTTTTTCTTACAGGAAATGCACCTGTACATACAACAGTTCCATGTAAAATAAGAAATGGTTTCCCTGTGGCATGTCCCTGAGAAGTGTAAATACCCCTCAAACCTGTAGAACTTTTTCTCTCCCATATGGATGCATACACAGAAAATCATATCCTTCCTAGTAGAAAGCCCTCCAGCTGAAGCCAGGAAATAAATCTTTCAAGCATGCTCAGGGCATTTCATCTATACAGCTTCTATTTATCTCATTATTATATTTTACTAGATAGTTGCTCAGTTTAAGCTAAAGGCATTTTCTGCCTATGCTGGAGATTTGAGTCATTTCAACTATAATGAATGCTAAAGCAGGGTAGAAATCCTCACTATTTATAAATATTAAACACTTTCAGATTACTTTGGTTGACAAGAAGCTGAACATGAGCTGGCAGTGTGTGCTTGCACCTCAGAAAGCCAACCATATCTTGGGTTGCATCAAAAGGAGCAGGAGCAGCACATTGAAGGAGATGGTTCTGCCCTTCAGTTCTGCTCTCACTCAAGTACCCACTTGGAGTACAGCATTCAGCTTTGAGGCCAACACAATGAGAAAGTAGACCTGTTGGAACAAGTCCAGAGGAGGCCACAAAGGTGATCCGAGGGCTGGAGCACTTCTACGGAGACAGGCTGAGAGAGCTGGGCTTGTTCAGCCTGGAGAAGAGAAGGCTCTGGGGACACCTTATAGCAGCCTTCCAGTACCTAAAGGGGCCTACAAGAAAGACTTTTTGCAAAAGCATGCAGTGACAGGACAAGGGGTAACTGTTTCAAACTGAAAGAGCGGAGAATTAGGTTAGATATAAGGAAAAAGTTCTTCACTGTTAGGGTGTTGAGACACTGGAACAGGTTGCCCAGAGAAGCTGTAACTGCCCCATCCCTGGCAATGTTCAAGACCAGGTTGATCTACAGATCATGATCTTTTCCAACCCAAGCTGCAAGTCCTCCAGTGCTCCTAGTACTTTCTAGACCTTTCAGGCACAGGAAAGATGTGACTGACTGCTGCCTCTGCAGGCTGTTTGAGGTGAAAATGGACATCTCTGCCACTCTCAGTGATATGATTAGATACTAGGGGAGCAGCTATTCCGTTTGATTCCTCCATCCTGATGCTCTCAGTGTCTGTAGATACTGCTACTCCCACACGGTCTTTTTAAGAACCTGGAAATAGGGCAGGCAGGAAAGAAGTGGGTGAAGACTGAACAGGAAAGCTGCCAGCTGCCTTTTTGCAGCCCATGCAGAGTGACAGCAGGCAGCTGGTGCTCCAAAGCTGGCCTTTTCATCACAGGTGCTGTCATAGGACAACTTCAGCAGGCTGGGAGTTTAGAAACCCTGTATTTCCCAAGGGATGCTCTGGAGCAACCAGTGCTTCAGGGGAGGTGCCCTTACGTGTCCTCTTTAGTAGCTCATTGTGTGAAATAACTTGAAATCTAAAAAAAGAATAGAGAAGCAAAGGGTGATCCAAGATCAGCAGCCTGTGGGTATTCCAAGAAAAATAATCTCTTTTTCACTGGAGAGTACCAGCCCATGATGTCAGTTCAGCTTTGGCTTTGATGAGCTTCTGCAAAACCCAAGGCGGGGTTCCATTTCTGCCCTGACACCTCAGTAGCTGTGAGAGTCCCTTGCAAATCTTCTGTCAAACAGATATTTTCTTAGATTTGCCCTATTTCAACTAGAAAACAGTATGTGTGGGGAGGAAGTTCCTCTGAACCAGAAACTTTTCTCTGCAGCCAGAGCCCTGCCTTGCACCATAGGCAATACAGCATCTGCCTGCTGGTATGCCAGCACAGTGGAACAATATTAATGCGTGGCACAGACCTTGGTCTCCTTCCCACCACAGAGATGTATAAATGGAGACATACAGACAAAGTGACTCAGCCACTGAATGAATTGATGGTAGAGCTGGGAATAGAAACCAAAAGCTGATCCCCTCCTATGCCCCAAATACAAGGCCCTAATCTGACACTGCAGCAGCTCACACAACATCAGTGCTATCTACCAAAAAAGAGAAAGTAGCTTTCACAAGAGGCCAAGAAATACCCTCATAACTAGGAGCACAAAGAGAGGGGAAAAAATAGCTGTACACAAGCTCCCAGGAGAAGAAAAGAAGTTCTTTTGAAACTGGACTACTGGCATTTGAACCTCATTGTCCATAGTGTCTC